TTTTGATCTAAGAGTTTCCCACAGAGGAGGGTATTATTAAAATTTACTGATTATCTAAGGTTTCATGATAGGAAAAAGATGGTCATGAAAATACTTCCCTTTGTTAGTGAACAGAGGTATTATTAATGGCCGTGCCATATAAGCATAGGAAGCTAGTGGCCTGGAAACTTGCCACCACGTGGCTAAAAAATTTCAGTTACGCAGTTCGAATGGCAGCAGCTGCTTTAAATTTAAAGGGCAAGAATTAAACAAGCCATGACTTCAGTGGGAAACAAATGAGCCCTAAGTTTACTCCTTCTATCTTCTTTGTATTTAGCTTCTCTCCATAGCCCTCCCTGTACCGAGTGTCTGTTAGAACTGACCTTGGTACGTCTCAAAACCACTCAGAAACCCATGCTGCCAAATCCAATGGCCAATTGTTTTTAAAAAGGGGATACTGTTCCCCTTTGGACTTAACTGTAGCCTCATCTTCACACCAGCCAGCACTTTCCAAGCCTGTATTTTCCTCTGCTGCAGTACATCCAATGTAATCATGTTTAGTACTTTCCAAACAACAAAGCAGATGTTCCCTGTAATGCAGTTTTTGAAGAATGCACATGAGGCTCAAGCCAGTGACAGTGTAATCCACCAAATGCCTGCAAAGGAATCCACATCGCCTCTGACTTACATGTTTTCTTACTGAAGTCATTTTAGGGGATGCCAACATTAAGGATAAAATATGCAGAAAAAAGGCCAGATACTGCCTTGAGGGACCTACTCGTCAACGCACCAGAAACTACACAATGACTCTTCTTCCAGAATTGGTGGAGAAGAAGTGCACATGTGTAAAATATACCTTTTGCACTTTAAGACATTTTACCAGCAAACTGTTTCAAATTAAACCCAGATGAGTAATGGTAAAGCAATGAGGTTTTCCCTGGGTTCAGTAAAAACAGCTGGTATTGCTGCTATTAATCATGTACGTGTGCATTAAAAGGTCTTATATGTCTGAGAAAAGCGTCTCAGTCAGGTAGTAGCAATGTACAACAGCCTCTGGGACCTTTGCCTACAGAAAAAAAAACCAGACTGCTTGCTGCCAATGCATCCCTGCATGCTACTTGTACTTGAATGCATTTATTCTGAGGCCCTCATCAATAATACTTTAAAAATCAAATGCCTTATAACTAGATTCTTATTATTAGTGAATAACAATACTCCTACTCCGAGTTTTGTTTTATAATATGATGCTAAAACATATAGACTCAACAACACTCAGTGTACTACTAAATGCAAGACCACTAAGCTGTAAGACTTCTTCCAGCAAGACCAAATAAAACAAGCCTTGAAATACCATTTTGAAAAGTACTGTGCCCATATTCATCACTTTACCCTAAGAAAGAGCTTGTGAAGACGCTAGGAATTTCAGACCTAGAGTTTGCAAAATACATTTATTCCTTAATATTAGTAGCCCAGAGTTGTTTCAGCCAAATGTGACTGACAAGTCAGTATATCTCTGAAGCTTGCATGGGAAGGGAATTTCTGGTGTGACTGTATGAGTATTCACTCTGTCATGAATAATTTGTTTTTTGGAAAGTGGCAAAACATTAAAAGGCCTTTCAGGTTTCTTTATTTTCTGGTTAGCCTTCTGATAGTATAGGAAAAGAAACAGCTGAATATCACCTTATTTTAATACATACATTTTCTTTCTCTCTCTCTACCACAGGTACGGAAAATAATGACTTTCTAAGGTGCAGGGGTTACAAAGAGACTGATTGAATTAAACTTTGTACCTATTCCACATACCAGTCATCATCAGAAGTGAACTGTGAATACTGGAATGTCTTTATCTCCCACTTGCTGTGAGTCAGCTGCAAGACATGAAAGCCTAGAGCCAAAAGTTATGTTAAGACCACTGGGTTTACACGAGATTGTTTCGTTTGGATACCTAGTTGGAGGACTTCTAATTTTTTTTCATTTTGAAGCATGGAAGAACTGCTGCATGAACATGGAATAGAAAACTAAAGAAGGATTTCTTCAAACAGCAAACCAAAAGCCTGTTTCATAACTTAGAGGGTAGAAGTCCGCCTCTGCACTGGTTCACAGAGAACAAATTCTTTGTTCAGTGTAGCAGGGAGATACATGGATGTGTGTGTCCATGTGCTTTATCAGCAAGGCACTGACAACACTCATAATGAAACAAAGGAGATATTCTAGAGGGACCCAAAATTCCAGGACAACTTTCTCTCCATTTGATGAACTAATGTCTACAGCTTGAAGAATATTCTCAGTACACCTTTTCTTTTAAATTAACCTCATCTCTAATGAAAATGTGGGCTCATACTTCAATCAGAACCAAGTCCGTTTGAGCTCCATGTGTCTCCAAAACAGGTCCCTCCTTTCAAGAGGAAACATAAGTCCTTCTACCACTGAGGGACAGGAAGACACACATCTCCAGGGCTAGATAGTCACTATATCAGAAAATCTGGCTGGTTTCCGAGATATATAACATCAGCTAACATCAACTTTTGTGTGGGAGCCATGCTCTGTGTCCAGCAGAATGGCAGTCATCTAAATCTGCTCGTCACCATGGAAAAAAATTTCCCTATCATACTGTGGTCCCATCAGGAAGAAGATTTTCTAGCCAGTTGGAGATGTATAGAAGCATTTCTTACTGTAACTGTAACTTATTCGCACATTTGGAAATGGGGTAGAGTTTGAGAAGGTTTCTGGGGTTTCTTAGTGCTTTAGCCATCTCTGGTAGGAGGCAGTCCTCTTGATCACTGATTTAGCAAGCTTTATCTGGGAAGGACTGCCAGTGTTTCTTCCAAGAAAATTTCTGCTAGTAGACCAGAGAAATAGAAATATCACTGGGAAATCTTTCAATTTGCTGAGCATAAATACTAATGATGCACCTCATCTCCAGGGATTGAAATTGCATTAATGTCGGAAATACTGCTGCATTGGATAGAGATATCTGTTTGAGTGCAATCTAGAGAAAAAGAAACAATTTGATGCAGTGTCACAGTTTCTCTAAGAACATAACACAGAGGTGACAGGATGAGAAAAAGGACTGATCTTTCTTAGTGATTGATATTAGAGTGGCTGGACATTCAAAAGCAAGTATCCATCACAGACCTGTGGGATGAAGGGTATGGCTGACTTTAAAAATTTTAATAGGCTGTTTCAAATGGACCCGTTAATTTCAAAGTACTCGTGCAACTTCTCAGCATTATCCTACTAGGAGCCTTTCATGGGTTGAGCATACTACTTCAATATGCAAAGGGGAAAAAAAAGATATGGAAATTGGTAAGATCAGGAGTCATAACCATATTCACAAAGCTTAAAGAAAATAGTAGTAGAGAACTACTATTCTGTCTGATTTTTATTACTAGTTAACAGAGGATAAGAAAGGAGAAAAATAAAAATAAGTGCCAATAGTATGTAGAAACACACTTCCATTCAGCTTCCTTCTGTAACACTGAGCCTGTTACTATTTTCTTCACATTTTCCAGCCATCTAATAATTGGTGACCCATAAAAGACTATCGAAAGATCTATCTAGATCTTTCTACCTATCTAGATCTTACTGACTATCTAGACCTCTAGATGGTTGCATCCAGAGGGTAGTGGTCAATGGCTCAATGTCCAGATGGAGGTTGGTGACGAGTGGCGTCCCGCAGGGGTCCGTATTGGGACAGGTACTGTTTAATATCTTCATCAATGCCATAGACAGTGGGATCGAGTGCACCCTCAGCAAGTTTGCAGATGACACCAAGCTGAGTGGTGCAGCTGACACGCCAGAGGGACGGGATGCCATCCAGAGGGACCTGGACAAGCTTGAGAAGCGGGCCTGTGTGAACCTCATGAGGTTTAACAAGGCCAAGTACAGGGTCCTGCATCTGAGTTGGGGCAACCCCCAGTATCAATACAGGCTGGGGGATGAAGGGATTGAGAGCAGCCCTGCCGAGAAGGACTTAGGGGTACTGGTGGATAAAAAGCTGGACATGAGCCAGCAATGTGCGTTCACAGCCCAGAAGGCCAATTGTATCCTGGGCTGCATCAAAAGAAGCGTGGCCAGCAGGTCGAGGGAGGTGATTCTGCCCCTCTACTCTGCTCTGGTGAGACCCCACCTGGAGTCCTGCATCCAGCTCTGGAGCCCTCAGCATAAGAAAGACACGGACCTGTTGGAGCTGGTCCAGAA